TGTTTATATTTTGGTGTGTTTTGTTTTTGGAAAAAGTAAAGAAAACAAGATTTACACGCATTTTAACTTTTCTAAACCACAGCCCTTTCTGCTGCCCCATAGGGATACATGGCGCAGGGGCGACTGTTGTCATAGTAACCTTTCCCGGGGGTTTTTCGCGCCTTATACAAATGTATCAATATGTTGTCATTAGACTCTAAAGGGACTTGAGGTTTTTTTTATTATTTGGGAGAGAGAAAGAGTTTTGAATTGAGAGGAGTACAAAATGAATAGAGCTGCAAGTACACGGTATGAAGCCCTGACAGTGCTTCAAGACATTGAATGAGAACAGTCTGACGGAGGTGAGATGTCACAGCGGGGAGAACACCTATAATATTCTAAATCTGAACGTAAACCCGTAGTGCATTCGCGGCACGGACAGCAGTGTTGTAACAAGTCCAGAAGCAATAACGCACATGAGCCACGTAATGCCAGCCATACGCAGGTGTCTGTGTGCGCGTTGTCTCTCCATTCTGCCTTTTCATTCATCATCAATTACATTCTTATATTTATACATAGAAGAAGGCAATAAAGCAGAATACAATATCGCAATAAAATAGAACAATTAGATGAACTATCAAGGCAGAGTGCAGATGGAGCGCTGTGAGGCCTCTCGTCACCCGCGGACACTGCAGGAGGAGAGCGACTGTGGAAGAAGCGGCCCTCATCATATCAATAAGGATATCTTTCTTATTTCATTCAGATAACACTGTGTGTTATTCTGCACAGCGCGCACTGCAAGGCAATGATTATAATTTTGTTCTGATCATAAAGAGCACTGCTTGTCTCAAATAAATACAAAATATATATATATTTGTCTTTCTAACGTGTCCCGTGTAAAATTGAAGATTGTACATTGACGATGGTAGCCTAGCTGATGATCTTGTGTCAATACGAATACTATTATTATTATCTAGATAATATTTCCCACGGTGATTTCGGCTGGAAAGAGAAAACAGTCTGGAGATGACGTAAGAAGTAGACGCATATAGCAGCGCGAAGACGTTATGGTCCCGTGCTTTTCTAAACTATCATTTATATTGTTTGAATTTACATATTGTTACTGAGTCAAATTTAACATATAGTGACCGACCTTTTACGTGTTTGCAAAGTTACAAAATAAATCTAGCCAGAAAAGTCTTCGTAATTTTTTTTTTATTTCGGCTGGAATTACAATTACTTAGCATATTTAGACAAATAATTTACACAGTTTCATTATGATCACGATTTCCTTGCAACAACAAGTTCTGGTTTAGTGAACAATCAATTTGGCAAAAGGCTGTATCAGCGCAAAATACATAGCGGTCAACTGACCGCAGGGGGCGGTGCAAGGTATGTTTAGAGCACGGCGGTCCTAGTGTTAATGACATTCTAATTTCTACTGACGCTGGTCACTCCGTTGTTCTGGTGCTGCTGGATTTGACGGCCGCTTTCGACACTGTGGACCATGAGATCCTCCTCTCGCGGCTGGAACACTGTGTAGGTATCCATGGTTCTGCTCTGCAGTGGTTTCGGTCATATCTGACAGAGAGACCTTTTTGTGTCAGTTTAGGAGATTTTGCCTCTTCTTTGGCCCCTCTGTCATGTGGAGTTCCGCAAGGGTCAATCCTTGGTCCTTTATTGTTTTCATTATATATGCTCCCGCTTGGACCCATCCTGAGAAAGCATGATGTTGGCTTCCATTTTTACGCAGATGATTGTCAAACTTATTTACCACTGAAAAACAGTGATGGACATGATTCTACCTCTCTCTTGGACTGAAGGATCTACAATCATGGATGTCTTTAAACTTTCTGAACCTCAACCAGGAGAAAACTGAGGTAATTGTAGAGTAGAGGCCTCACTACCTCTGCTGACCTCGGGTTTTTAACAGACTCCATAAAGCCAGCAGTGACTAATCTGGGTGTTAGGATGGACGCTAACCTGAAACTGGACCAGCAGATTTCAAAAGTTGTCAAAGCAAGCTTTTTTCAGCTAAGGCAACTTGCAAAAATAAAGTCTATTTTAACAAAGCAGCACTTTGAGACTGTTGTGCATGCTTTTGTGACAACCCGTTTGGATTATTGCAATGCACTCTACTGTGGGCTGAGCCAACAGGCACTTTCTCGGCTGCAGCTCGTCCAGAATTCTGCAGCTCGACTTTTAACTGGTACTTGTAGATGTGAGCATGTGACACCGGTTTTCAAATCTGTGCACTGGCTTCCAGTTGGTTTTAGAATTGATTTTAAAATTATTTTATTTACTTTTAAATGTTTAAATGGACTGGCTCCCTGCTACCTCTGTGATCTTATTCTGCCCTATGTTCCCTCTCGTGCCCTGAGGTCGGCAGATCAGCTGATGCTGGTGGTCCCTAAGACACAGCGTAAGCTTCGTGGTGACCGAGCTTTTTACGTCGCAAGTCCACGTCTTTGGAATCAGCTACCCATTGAGATAAGACAGGCTCAGTCTCTGCCTGTTTTTAAGTCACTTCTTAAAACTCATATTTTTTCATGTGCTTTTGATAATGTTTGATTTTTAGGTAATATTGTTTTATATATGTATTTTTTAGTCATTGTGTTTGTTCTTGTGTATAGCACTTTGGCTGAACTGTAAAGTTTTTAAAGTACTTTATAAATAAATAAATAAAGCTGGTAAGGTACTTGTGCTTGAACACCAGTAAGACCAAGGATATGGTACCTGTGCTGAACACCAGTAAGACCAAGGAGATGGTACCTGTGCTAACACCAGTAAGACCAAGGAGATGGTAATCGACTCAGGAGAAAACCAGTTTCCCATATGCTGCTGAACATCCAGGGGGAACATATAGCAAAAAGAAAGTATTAACCACAATCCTAAACCTTTCATGAACTAGCACAGGACCTAAATGGCCTGTCAAACATTATAGAAATAGAACTATGAAAGGACAAATCTGAATTGCACGGACATTTAGAAATACTTTGCACAAAATCTAACCACAACTATCTGTTTTTTTTTTGTATGAAGATTTGAGTCTTGCTCATCCAGCACACTGTCTGAACTCCACCCAAAGTTGATTGTGTTCCAAATGAAGTAAAAGTACATGGACCGCGTCTCTCGGGTGCAGTCTTAAATGCTCTGCCCACCGGTGTGTTTGGGCATAAATCCGGTTCATTTGTGTGGTTTTATTGAAAGTACCGGGCTCCTACCTGCCTTTGTGTCGGCACTAAGTGGCGTTCAGCATGGCGACGCACACTCCGCTTCTTTGCCGGTGCGAAAACCAAACCCGGATCATTCCTGTTATGAGCAGCGTTTGATGAAATGTGTTTAAATACAGATGTAGCATTAGCTGTTGTAAAGTCAGTGCAGAGCGAGTGCGGCGGGGCAAGGCGACTAATTGGCCCCATATCGTTTTCATCACGGCCCACTGGCGCGTTTGTTATACTTCAAGAAAGAGATTCTAAAGTTATGTCTTGTATTCTGTTGTTTTATAATATCTTAACCTTGTTTGACTTCACAAACCAGTTTCTCTTTGCTATAAAGACAACTACACTTATCAACGCAAAAATTACTTTTAGATCCATAAAAAACAATTAAAATAAAGCAGTTAACTATATACAAAACATAAAGCAATGAAATAAATAAAAACAATAAAATAAATGAAAACATAAAACAATAAAATAAATAGAGGACCACACAACTCATGCGGTGTTAAAAGCCAGAGAGTAAAAATGCGTCTTAAGACGAAGCTTAAAACATTCCAACGAGGTAGCTGTTTTGACGTGGGGGGGCAGAGCGTTCCACAGCTTTGGTCCAGCCACAGAGAAGGCCCTGTCCCCCTGGGTTTTAAGTCTCGTCTTAGGTACCATGAGCTGGAGCTGGCCCTCGGACCTCAGCGTGCTGGGGGGGACGTACTGTGGGGCCAGTCCTTTCAAGGCTTTCAAAACGTTTTTTGGTTCCTGTTAAAAGCCGTGCTGCGGAGTTCTGGACTAACTGTAAGCGTGAAAGTGCCTTCTCTGACTTGTTCAAAATGTTTAAAAACTAAAAAAGGCTTTACCTTAGATAAAAGACGAGGCTGATAAAAGCCTGATTTCACGATTGCGCTGATCTGCCTTTCAAGGTTAAAATCAAGGTTGGTGGCAAAGGGATGGACATTATCCCTGAGGGTTCCCAGGTCCAATAGGGCAGTGTCTCCCAAAGTGGGGGTACTGCAGGGGGGCCACGGGAGGTCATACAAAAAAAATAATATATATATATAATTATTTAATGTTAAATTTATAATGTTTTGTTTGTAATATTAAAATATTTGTGTTCATTATTTGACTTGAATAATCCACTGTAATAATTTTTGTATTACAATGTTTGTAGCAGAGGCTATTTCCCCAAAATAAAATAACCAGAAGAGCCTATTCTTAATGTTGTCTTCTTGGTTATTATTTTGGGGGGCCACTCAGACCCGTCAGATTTTTAAGGGGGCCTCGGTGTTACTGAGTTTGGGAATGGCTGCAATAGGGGATCCGTGGGCCCAAACATCAGCCTGTTGCTGAACCATGTAACCAACTGCATAATTAAATTACAATTAAGGTTTTATTGACCACAATCCCAAAAGCTGTCTTTTTGAAGGGCTTTGCAGAATTGTTGATTTGCCAACAGCCGTTTAGAGCCCATAAGCATTTTATTGTTGTAATTCTTAAAAGCTGAGCTTGAGCTACAGCTTGGTGACATTGGAAAATGTTTTTACAGATTTTAATGAAAAAGCCCAATATTTAGTAAAAAAAGCATTTCTGTCATCTCACATTAAAATTGACACGGTGGCTCTCCTTTTTTTCCCCGTAATAAACAACAAAGGCCCCAGAGGCAAAAGACAGATTTAAACTTTTTTCACATCAAATGATTAAATGAATAAATGTGATCTACTGTGCTATAAGACAATTGTACATTTTCATCATTATGTATCCACAACTTATGTAGATTCTCACCTTTTTCCCTGTTCTTTCCCAGAGCCCATGCATGGCCCACGCAAACTGGAAGTGGTGGAGGTGCAGTCCCGGCAAGTAACTGTCCGCTGGGAGCCGGTGGGGTACAACGTGACGCGCTGCCACACTTACAACCTGACCGCGCAGTACCGCTCCAGGCCTGCGGGGGGCAAAGAGGAGGCCCGAGAGGAGATCTGTTACGACACGCAGAGCAGGAACCCGCAGCACACCATCCACAACCTCACGCCCTTCACCAACCTCAGCGTCAAACTTGTGCTCAGCAACTTGGAGGGGGTGAAGGAGAGTGCGGAGCTGGAGGTGCAGACGGATGAGGACGGTGAGATGTTTTACTCATGAAACGACAAGTCGCACTTTATTACTTATGTTGACACTAGGACTGACTTGACTTGATTGCTGAGTAACAGAGTTTGTTGCTATGGTAACTATGGATACTTCTCTGGTGAAAAACCTAGTTGACTCTACTCAGAACAGTCCAGAACCAGCACTTTAACTGCCAGAGAATGTTGGTTACCTAGAAGCAGAAATTGGCTTTAGGGTAAAATTTGAAGTTTAGTGTAAGGTAGAACTCCTCACATTATATAAATAAAAGATATTTCATAAAAAATAATGACATAGATTTAAGTAGATACAGAAAAAGTCAAGGCAACTAAAACATTTTGTTACTAAATGTTACTAATAATGAGTATACTTACAAAACTAAAAGCTGTCAAATTGACTGCTCTGGAAGATCTAAGGGACATGGCAAGCTTTTTATAGGCACGTTTGGCAACGTAAAATATGTCTGCCTAAATATTGACTTTTTTTTTTTAAACAACAAACACATACAGGTGCTAGGTTACAACGACAATAGTAATATTAACAACAACAAAGAAAATACACCAAAACTCAGTGGCAGGCCGTGCATTTCAGACCTGCGCCTGCAGTGATGTTCTAACCCAGCGATCTCTAACTTTTTTTGTGCCCCAGAACCCCCCTACAGCAGTGTGCCTCCTGTGTTTTAAATGACAGGAGGTACATGGCTGTAGTTTGTGCACACACGCCTGATGCACTCGGGCACAATGCGTAACTTTCTTCCCTGACTACTCTGGGAAAATGACCGAATGTGCAACGCAAGCGTTAAGAACCCAGTTTTCAGCATTAATGTGGGAAAGTCAAACTACAATGTAAGTATTGCGTGTGAGTTTTAATGTTCAGTTTTCTTACCGGTGGTGAGGCAGGAGTCATGACGCTGTGTCTTCTGCATTAGCCTAGCTCCGCAGGTTGGCTTATTTAAACTGTTATTGCCATAGGCTTTTAGCCTCAGCTTTGCTGCAGCTGTGTATTCTGTGGTTGGGGCAAACTCCTGGCTCTCCCGGTCCCTCTGTCTCTGTTTTTCTTGAGAAAGGAATTTTAACTATCTACCAGAACAATATATTCACCTACTTCAGCCGTAGAGGGCTGAAAAACTAAAACAAGTTGTTGTGCTATACATATTACCATTTTTGTTTGTTTCTGTTTATTACATTATTGTGTTTGCACCGACATATTATCTCTATATATATCCAATCAAAAGACGTGCAGGATCCGACGCAACACAGGGCCTGCTAGCTGGCCTAGAGGAAGGAAACTTTGACACTGCTTGACCAACGCAGTTTGTGGGAAAAAAAAGAAAGAAAAATCATCATGTTAAGTTGCTTGCCTTTGGCTCCAGGCAATGTTGATATAAGTCATGACAGAGTCATCAAGACAGCGAGGGAGGGGGATTCCAACTTGCGGCAACCATCTGTTTGTTATCCATAAGCCCGGCCAGAAGGTCCCTGTGCTGCATCTTGCAATTATTTTTATTTATTTTTATAATGGAACTTTCACTTTTCTCTGCTGGTAAAGCTAGGTAACTCTTTAGCCAAGTAATATATTTTTGTTTGAGCATTTGAAGTTGCTGTCATTTAAATCCAAGTTTCCCTATGTTTTTTTTTTTTTATACACAACCAAACTTGCAAACATGCGTGCTTCTTTCTACCAACACCACTCCTCTGGAGATATTGGGATGCTAATCTTTCCACTGGAAGAGCACCACCACTAAAGAAATCTTGCCTTTTTCTTGCCTCTTGCGAATTTCTTTCAAACTGCATGATCGTGGAGATGTCATTTTTCTTTTTACGCATTTATCTACAAGCCGGCACCTCCTGTCTGTTCCCCCACGAGATACTAAGCACACAGAGTGAAGAAATAGTTGCCACTTTTAAGTTTGGAACCAAAGATATGTATATAGCCGACATGACAGCACGCTCTTTTCGTCATGCAGGGCTGTCTGTTTGTTATATCCAGCGGCCGCAGGTTCCTGGAGACTTCTATAGAGTTGATTTCCTGTGTCTGCAGCTGCTGAGGTAACACAAGGCAGCTCTGCGGATGAATGGAAAGCTCCGACTGGGACTGCGGCGAAGAGCTGGTGGAGGCATCCTGTCTGCTGTCTGGAAAAATATTGGTGGAAAAACTCAACATGTTGAAGGAAATCTCATGGACAATATCAGAAACTGAATGTGTATGCCCTGTAACTCACGGCAAACAAAGGAAAGTTTATTCGTATAGCACAGTTCATACACAAGGCAACTCAAAGTGTTTAACAAATCATGATTGATTTAATAATACAAGGCATTAAAATAACAAATTATCACACTAAATTAAAAAGAGTGAAGATTGAGATTAAGAGATTGTCCCACTGTGGGGACATTTTTGTGTGTGTTCTTAGCTTCAATTGTAAAGTTTAATAAGCCAAGAGTTGTCTGGGGCAGAGCTTATCATCAAGCCAGAATGTGGTATCAGTACTTGTTGGGTCGTGATGGCGATGGATGGAGACTGGTCTTTGTTCATGACACAAAGCAGAGTTCCTGCTTCTCTTCTTCCCTCAATGATGAGTCGTTGGGGAAAGGGTATTAACAAGGAACAATCCAATGGGAGTTTTTATCTTAAGACATTCCTACCCACAATAAAACGTGCAGTGGAGACAGCAGTTACATTACTTATATCCTTATTCAAAAGTTTGATCCTATAAGAAAAGTCTGATTAAGGAAGTGATTACATATCCTAATATACAACAAATGTCTCAGATCTAAGGAAGAGGTCACCTTGGTAACCCTACATACGTAGGTGTGAGGCCACAGATAGCTGCTATATAGTCTATTCTCTGAGCCAGAGGAAGCCAGTGCAGAGACCTGAGAACTGGACTGATGTGATTGTTTCGGGTTAGAGTATCTTGATGGTCCAATCGGTAGTTTGTTCCTATATCCAGTGTTGGACGAATACATTTCTATTGTACTCTATTTATTGTGCATGCAAATGTTATATTTTTAATGGTATATCTTCAAATGAGTTGAAAAATAAGGAAGTGCAGTACCTGTTGGACTATGAAGTGCACCTGTAAACAAAACCGCTCCAACTAAAGTTCATAAGAAAAGCAAAACAACGCACTGTTGGCTCATGATGATCAATGCACTCATATGATAGAAACATTCCTACTAAAACTTGATGGCGTATAAGTAATATGTCCATAAACTCTGCTCTGCCTATTGTCCTAATGACTGGAAGGTCTTGTGTATTTCCCTAACACTACCCACCGGAAAGCAAGAACGTGTGCTACCTCATCAGCTCTGGAGATCAACAGCTGATAGTTGTGTCCTTTCCATTCCTATTGTGATGATTTAATTGTGAAGAGTTTTTATTTAATTCAGGAACTGGTACAACTCTTATTATAACTAGTAACATTCCTTGTTTTGTAATTATGTGCTGTTACTTTTGTCAATAGCTATTCCTAACACTGCAGTTGTATCTGACTCTACATACAGTGTTATTTTTTTTCTGAATGAAACTACTTGACTTTCTAAGATATACGAATGGTCTATTTGCTTTGTCTATTCATTAAACGTCTCTGCCCATGCGTGCCCTAGTGCCCAGTGCCATCCCGCTGGAGTCCATTCAGGGCAGTGCGTACGAAGAGAAGATCATCCTAAAGTGGAGGGAGCCATCGCAGACCTATGGCATCATCACACAATATGAGGTATGTGTGTGGGGTCAGGACCTCAATAGAGACCCTCACCTTTTAACAATTTATGCAATACGTGATGTATTTATTTGACTGGGACAAAGCCATCAGACATTGTTACAAAACATAGCTTGCAGCCAATGCGGTGCAAAGATTTTATAGATTAAGAGTTTAGACAATCCTTAGATGATCCTTTATCCGTCCCACAGTGGGGAAATTTCAGTGTTTCATCAACAGTTACAGAACAGTAGGAATGGGTAGCACACAATTCAAGTGAACAATAACTCTGTACAAATAAAATAATATAAAATACAAATATCTAACTCAAGCATAAAAGTAAGCAGTATAATATCTTCAGCATAATGAGTACAAATACTCAGAGTTTAGCATACGAAATATGTAAAAAATCTCTACCTTTGGCATAAAAAGAAGCAAGTGTAAAGTACTGTGTATTCAAGTGTAAGAAATATTGCATTGTTTTTTAATTGCGTTAAAAGCCCTCCTAGGGACGGACATTGCAAATTAGCCTCGGCTATAAATGTTGTAGTGTTTCACATGTTGATTATGTTGATTGTGTACACTTGTCCCTATCAAATAAATCAATAAATACATAATAGTTGTATGTTTAGATCAATAAATACATAATAGTTGTATGTTTAGATCTGTACATATTAGCAGCATGAGACTCTGGGACAAAGTGACTAAGTAGAGCAACAGTGACACATGTGATTCAATATTGCACATTCTGACTTTTTTAAATTTTTTATGACTTGAACTTCATTAGTTTTTTCAAGTAATAACAGTAAACAGGCAACAATCCACATCATATCAGATTCAGTCCTTGGCAAGTGACTTCAAGTGAATTGCAACAACATACAACAACAAAACAAAATAAAACATAAAAAATAAAGAATAAAGGAATACAAAATAGAAAGGGTCTGATTAACAATGCAAATATAGTTTAACATATTCGTTTCAATAATTGTAATAAATATTATCAATATTAACTTAACATGAAAATAATACAGTAAAAAATGGCTTTGGAAATAAAAGTAAAAAATAAAATTGCTGTATTTAAAGTTTCATTCACCAGTTTTAGCCCTAAGAACAAGTGAGTAGATAATTACTTTTAGTAAATCTAGTGAAAAAGTATACATTTTGGGGGGTAATTTATTTTTATTTATACAATAAAGAATACGAAGTGCCACTGAGGAACATTGGAAGATACCTATGAAGCAAATGGTAGACCTTGTCACAGTGCAGCTTTTAACATAAAATCAAAGGGAGATTGATATTAGTTATTCAGGCTTGCAAATATCTCAATCTTAACTTAGGGTCTTTTGGTTTGCCCTGTGCAGAAATAGAGAAGAAACTAATCAGGTTTGAGAAGTATTGCACTGTAGTTGTAGTACTGTAGATGACACAAAGAAAAGGAATGTTCAAATAGATTGTTCCTTTTGTTTTGTGTCCCTTTGATTTCTGTGGAATTAGTCGCATCTGTCGGTTTGTTCGTGCAAGGCCCACAGCGAGGTACTTCATAAAATGAGATTCTACTTGCGCTAAGCCCCATTCCACTGAAATGAATCTACGAAATAAAAACAAAAATCCACCATAGATCACTCAGTCTCCATCACCATGGAGACGCCAGATTAACCCTGATTAGCCCGGTTCATATCTAAACCCAGATTTATACCAAAATAACCAGGAATTGTGATTGTAAAATGAACTGTAGAGAAACTGGAGAGAAAAGTGACAAAGGTGCAGTGGCTTTTTGTTTTTCAGTCAATTGAAATGACTAATTCTTCACATTGTTTGTGTTTGTTTTCATAGCCCATATCAGTGTGGTTAAAACATTCAAACTTAATTCAGGTAATTTTGTATATGTATGCTTTCAAGGCTTCTATGCCTCTTGTTCACTATCAAGGCAAGGCAAGTTTATTTGTATTGCACAGTTCATAAGGGAACTCAAACAATGAAAAACAGTACAATCATGCAAGGCATTAGGTTTAGCACTCTTTATGATCCTGGTGTTTATATTTTGATGTTGTATTTGAGAATCCAGATATGACCCATCTGATTGATTAACCAATCAAATGCCTTCATTTGCAGGGGAAACTCCAGCTTGCATTTGCAACTGTCTTAGCGTCACACCTTAACAGAAGAAATGCCCATATAATGAATTTGGCTCCAGCTATCTCATGTTATAATCAGATTATCCAAAGTATTGAGGCTAACACTATGGTGATGTCTGCACATGGTCAGCCCACTTCTTATATATAGTCCATGGTTAGCATTGAATGTGTAATTGAAGACCATGGCATGTGTAAATTAGGGTGAATGAATGAGTGTATCTTTGTGAGTGCGAATGTGGGACAACGGATGCAAATCAGCCCAAGGCTACTCTCCAGTGCGATGTGTTCATTAACATACTGTCCCAACCAAATAAACAATTAATTAATTAATTAAACTAATATAACAAAAAAGCTCCTGATGTAGTATATCAAAATTCAACATCTTCTTTGCCAGGGAATATCCATTTTGATGGTCTAATTCAGGGATGCACAGATACCACTTTTTTCTAAACCGATACGAGTATGAGTACTTTAATTTGAGTACTTGCAGATAATTTGAGTATTTGCCAATTGCTTGCTCCGGTGCTAGCAAAGGTTACTCTGTGTGGTGGTGAGTTTTATCAAGTTGTTGGTGTTATACATATTTGTTTTGGACCCACCTTGTGACAGTTTTGCCTTAACAATGTAGAGTCCCCTTAACTCTTGTCACTCTTGTTTACTTAAAAAAAAACTGCCACACGGTTGGCATCTTGTCCGCTTGCCACTAGCCTGCTTGTCGTGAGCATGAGGTCAGCCAGTAAAAAGGGACGTTCAGACATAAGAATCGTATGGGAGGTATAAGAATCAAATCAGATTTTCTTTCAAAAGTAAAAATAGATAATTGCTTTTTCCCATAGAGTTGAATTGGCACCTGCTCAGAAAACTGAAACAAATGTAACCCATTGGATTTTTTCACAATATTATTTAAATCCTTTTAAAGGATTTAAGTGTACATATAAGATTGCAGATCACATGCACTGTGTTGAATGGAGCAGCCAGGGTCACAGTCCTGCCAGTCCCTGGGCTCGTGTGGGTGCGCCCTGTCACTCCCACACACAGTCTCTCCGTCTGCTGTCTACCACTTTCCACTAGTGTCCAGGGGAAACCCTGAGCTCTCAATATGTCCTATCAATTTACAAATTGTACAGTACTGTTGCAAATTAATCTGTTAAAGATTGGCCATGTTTTGTTTGAAGGACAATGCAGTGGTCTTTATTTTTTCTACAGTGCCGCAGTGAGGGTGACAGTGGCTCAGTTGGTAGCGCAAATTGGCCTTTGAGCCCACAGGTTGTGGGTCAGAGCCCACCACGAGACCTTCTCCCTCGACTCCCACTTATGTGAGCAGCCAGCCATCCTACTGTGGACTCACCGTGGCAGCTGATTGCCACCCCCCCAAACCAGAAATGGATTAAGGGGAAGAAAATGGATAAATGGATAGAAGATTGACCATGTTCTTTTTGAGGGAAGTACGTAGAAAAAACAGAACGCAATATATATAAACAACAAAACACAGACGGAAAATGGGTTGGGCGAAGCTCCAATCCCTTGCACTCATATAACACAAAACACACACAGACATTCTTAGAAAGGCCGTAAATATGCTGAGAAGATAAAACTATGACTGCAGAATGAAATATGTTTACAAAGTATTTTAATCTAATAATCCAATGTGCTAAGCTCATATAGCTTTGAGCTTTGCCAAATGCATGAAAAATGCTAACCAACCGATTACTATAAAATTACGATACCAATTTTTGAGTTAAGTTGACACCAAACTGGACGTTATGAGAAATAAATCATACTCATTTTCAAACCCCCCAAAGCTAACTCTCTGTAAAGACGAGGGCTCTCTGGGGAGCTGCATACAAAGTGCTACTCTCCTGCGTGTCGTCCCAGTCCTGTTTAATATTGCACAGCTCTCTCTTGTGTTATTCTTTCCATTGACACCTTCACGACCCTTAAATAGACACAAGCAAATACGTCCGTCCAAACCTGCCGCACATCACAGACTAGGCCTGAACAAATATGAACTCCTCCAGCTCAGTTCCAGGCTCCACTGAATAATAGAGTGGTGGAGGTTTACAGTGACTTGCTTTAGGTGGAGGTTTTTTTTTTTCACTTTTCCTTTAAGTTCATTCTTTTCTGTTGACTTGGATCCTGTTTGATCTGCGTTTGGTATTTGGATTGCAGGTTACAAATAACTGAGAGAAATGCAGTTGCAGTGGAAAAATAGAAGGGTGAGAGTCTTTCAAAGGATGAATAGCGTGACATGCCTTCAACAACGCAGCTCCCTCGGTCGTTCAATTTTAAAACTGTGACCCTGTTGAATTGCCTGTACAGCCTCAAGAAGGTTCTTACATTTCATTACTATGTACAACTGCTACTTTCAATTGCTACTTGACAGTAGCAATTGAAAGTAGCAGTTGTACATAGTTTGAAGCAACTCAGACTCTGAGGAAAACAGGGACTGGCTTCCTGCTGGGACTTTGGGGAGCAAAGGGACTGGGCTCCTGCTAGGATTCTTGAGGAGCACAGGGACTGGCCTCCTGCTGGAAGTCTTCCTGAAAATGTGAGACAGGGTTTCATTTCTGTTGTTGTGTCAGCACTTTGGGATCTTGTTTTATAGATTGTGCTATAAAAATGAAGTGGATTAGATAAAGTATGCATGTCCCTATAGAATCCAAGCAGGCCGATTAGATTGACAGAGAAGCCGACCGACTAAGAAAGCCATTTTTTAAAGTGTTTCCTAAATGCATATAATGAATGAAAGCAGTAAACTGAAACCCTTGAATAGATTTCAGTTAAGTGAAGACGCAGGGGTGTCGGGCACAATACAAGAATCACCTATTATGAACCTATAGATTTTCAAGAATAATCTACTATTTACAACAATTGGATTTAACA